TTGTGTAGCGACAAGCCACATCAGCGAAAAGCAAAAAGTCACCATTGGACAAAGCGTAGCGCACATCGGGCTCCAGGGCCACCTTGCTGCGCCGAGTCTTGTTCAGACTGCCATTGTCACAGATGGTATGACAATCCCCAGTAACACACAAAACGGCATGTTTCTTGGACACAGACTGGGCTGGCAGGGTGATATCACAACTGGAGTGACGCCCAATGACATTGGGGCCTGGGTAGATGGGGAAATCTGCAAACACAACAGAAAAGAGAGGTCAGAAAAGAAACACTCCATCTAAAATGGACACAACATGCAACTGCTGTCATTTTAGAAATATGCAACCTAAGCAAAATACATTCTGTGGTGTTAAAACTGTAACTTTAACCACTTGCTCTCCTGAGGATTTACCGCCCTTCATGACCAGGCAGTTGTTTGAGTTTACAGCGCTGCGTTACTGTAACTGTCAATTGCACGGTCATGCAAGGCTACACCCGAATAAAATTTATGTCCTTTCTTCCCATGAATTGAGCTGTCGGTGGTATTTCATTGCCTGTGCGGTTTTTATTTATTGCGCTATAAGCAAAAAAAGACCGACAATGTTGAGAAAAAAAAAATATTTTGGACTTTTTGCTATCAAACATGTCCTGTAAAAAAATTTTAAACCATCAAATTTCATCATAAATTTAGGCCAAAATGTATTCTGCAACAAAGCTTTGCTAAAAAAAAATCCCAATACATGTAAATTAATTGGTTTACATGAAAGTTATAGCGTTTACAAATGGCACTATAGGTAATGGGATTTTTTTTTTTTTACTAGTAATGGCTGCGATCAGCGAATTTTAGCGGGACTGCGGCAGACATTCTGACACTGGGGGGGAACTAACTTGGTGTCAATGACAGCAATACAGTGATCAGTGCTAACAAAAAAAATGCACTGATGCTGTACTAATGGCACTGGCCAGGAAAGGTTTCATGTGAGGGGCAAACAAAGGCTTAACTGTGTGCTGGGAGTGTTTTACTAGGGGGCAGTTGGTGTGTTCTTCACTGTAAGCACACTGATCAGGATGGCTGTACTGAGCACAGCCATCCCGAGCAGTGTGCTCGAGCTGACAGGGAGAAAGATTGTTTGTAAACAAAACAATCTTCCTCCCCATCGGAGATGATCGGTAATCACCAGGCGTCGGCGGGTAATTACAATCTTGGACCCGGTGACCGATATCCGCGGCTGCGAATGGCAGCGCAGGTAGGGAGCGCGCTTTCCCTACCTGGAAATGCAAAATCACGCATATATACATGATTCTGCGCACAGGGGCCGCCCTGAAGCAGTATATCTGTCTATAGGGTGGTCTTTAAGCGGTTAAAGGATAGGTTCACTTTTATAATAATAATTTTAAAAAAAAATCTCTCTCTCTCTCAAGGAAATAAATATTTGATCCATCCCCTGCTGATTTTGAATGTTTGCCCACTCACAAAGAAACGATCAGTCTAAAAATCAAATGGTAGGTGTATTGTAACACTGAGAGACAGAATGTCAGGGTCCTGTCCACGGCAGGAGTTCTGGAAGATCTGGCATTTCTGCCAATACTCTACATGGCCGCAGAAGGACACATCAGCCTCAGTCTGGGGCCAGACGGCCTTTATAAGGAGGCTCATCACTTCCTCTGGTTGCTGGATGATCTCTAGCTCCCCGTGCCCCGTTCCTGGTTTCCGTTTCCTGTTATTCTGACTTATGATTTCCTGTTACCAACTCGGCTTGCTCCTGGACCCGTCTACTTTGATTTACCCCTGATCTGACCTCGGCTTTCCCATCTGACTACGCCCGCTCTGATTCCCACCTGGTACCTGACCTTGGCTTGAACCGACTACCCAGCAAACATCCAAATCCCGGAAGGGGTTGCTTACCACGCACAGGCGCCTTCTGTCTGCAGACCTATCTCCGTGCACCAGCTGTGCTTCTGAGTGGACCACCAACCAGCACTCCTACTGGCGACCTGTGCAACTTTGGGCCTGACTCCCGTTGTCCCACTCTCAGGGGAGTCCAGAACTTAGCCGCAAGGGAATTCCTCTCTCCATTGGCCTCCATCACCAGGTACGTGATACAGAATAGCAACAAAAAATTCAAAAGAAATGCATGTCTAACAAATTATGCACTGATTTGCATGTTCATGAGGGAAATAAGTATTTGACCCCCTATCATTCAGCAAGATTTCTGGCTACCAGGTGGCCACCATTTCTGGCTCAAGAGAGCACATGTCCAGGCCTGTCTGAAGTTTGCCACTGAACATCTAAATGATGCAGAGGAGGACTGGTTGAAAATGTTGTGGTCAAATGAGACCAAAATCGAGCTCTTTGGCATCAACTCAACTTGCCATGTTTGGAAGAGGAGGAATGCTGCCTATGACCCCATGAACACCATCCCAACTGTCAAACATGGTGGTGGAAACATAATGCTTTGGGGGTGTTTTTCTGCTAAGGGTACAGGACAACTGCACCATATCAAAAGGGACAATGGACGGGGCAATGTACCGTCAAATCTTGGGTGAGAACGTTCTTCCCTCAGCCAGGGCATTGAAAATGGGTTGTGGATGGGTGATCCAAAACACGGCCAAGGCAACAAAGCAGTGGCTCAAGAAGAAGCACATCAAGGTCCTGGAGTGGCCTAGCCAGTCTCCAGACCTTAATCCAATTGAAAATCTGTGGAGGGAGCCGAAAGGGGAATTTATTATTATTTTGTTTTTACTTGGAGCCTGTAAAGCATTGCACCCGTGATCAGCAGACTTATCAGTCTGCTCATACCTCCTACGGGCAAGCAGATACACACTGACAGGAAGAGACAATGAACTACCAGAGTGCTCTACACAGCAATTCAATCTCAATGAAGATTCATTACTGGTTTTTACAATAAATATAGGGCCATTTCTGGCATTATTCAGAAACATTGGAATGTTTTACAACTTGACCCTAAATTAGGCCCATTATTACCAGCAGCCACACTGTAACTTTTAAGCGGGCTTGTACATTGAAAAATATTCTAGCACCTTGCAAACTGACATTGCAGACCAATAAAACAAACATGTCTGCATATATTTGTCTCTATTTTGATAATAGAATAGGCATCCATAAATGCCATAAAAAAAGTTGTTTGACCTGCCAGTCCATTCATCATGGACGACTCAGCATTTCAGATGGCAAGGGGAATGAATATGTTATTAAACAGTTTATCACTTGTTCATCTGAATATGTTATGTACGCACTGCATTGTCCATATAAATTTCTATACGTAGGTCGCACAAAACATATGCTAAGAAAGGGAACATGTGAACACCACCGACTCATCACAGAAGGCTATGACAAACATAGCATTCCCCGCCATTTCCTCCATTGCCATAGCAAACATTTTAGGGTTATGAAGGTTATGGCTATAATGATTAATGCATTAATGATAGATCTCTTACTCTCAACCAAAGATTTTACCTTCTTTGCAGAAGGAAAATTTTATCAATCTTCAAATTGGACACCATGATACCTTATGGACTCAATGAAGACAGTACACCAGTGTGGTATAATGATGTATACATTACAGGTCTTGAGAGTAGTGCTGTAATTAGTAGTGCTGTAATGATGTGCCATATCATGTTATACATTTATTTTTTTATGCTTTTTATTTACGCTTTTATTTTGGCTTATTATTACTATATTTTAGGGATTATCAGCTGTGCTTTTAAATATAAAATGAGAATTAATTATATATTTTTATAGTCTTTATATATCTGTTTTTTTTATATATATTTATGCATTTTCACATTTAAATTGACTATAGGGCTATGCTGTTGTGTCAGAGATAACAATGAGCTTGTTGCATGTGCCTTTAAGAAACCGCAGTTTCTATCTGTGCTCGCCCTCCCCCTTCTGAGGATTGTCTTTTAAATTCTGGTCCCCCCCCAGTTGCCCATTTGACTTTGACAAAGCACTACCCTGTGAAACGCGTCGTCATGGAAACCACTATGTCCCCAGCTGGCTCTGTACACCAAGCCTCCCTCCATTGAGGATCTGTGCCTCCTATTCCGGCTTGTTTGCGGTCCGTCTGAGGTAATTTCCGGTGTGCAGTCTTCACCAACACTGCTGCATGCTTCGGAGGCCGGCTGCCCATGTGATCTACCCCTGGCATCTATATAGCCTATTATTTGTAGATCACCATTTTGCAGCATTCACATAGCGGCATCATTGATTTTACCATCTTCATGCTCTCCACTTTGGCTTCCCCAGTAACCATAGAGCTGACTAATATGTTATTTTACCTCTGCCACCAGCACGGTTCAGAAGTCACATTGAAAACCCTCTGATTTCTAAGCGGTTTCAAGAATTGAGTGCAGTTACATTTCTTTCATTATCATGATTGAATAATCTTCATTGGATTATATGTCTTTTTGGCAATATTTTGATTGCACTCAGATAATCTAGTTGGTCTAGCACCATCTTGTGGCCTTTTATCCCTAGCGCTCTTCTTCAGTTTTTCTAGCGTCATGGTACTGTAGTTTATTGAAAACTACAAGCTGGCAGGCACAAAAGCTGTCGGTACTTGTGATTTCCTATTCACAGAACTCTGTGAATGAATGGCATGGTACGTCTGGTGAAGCCACGAACAACCACGTACTGTCGACTGCTTGCTGTCACCAGAGACAGTGGAACAGGCAGGGGCTGCAGGAGTGGGAACATGTTACTAGTTCCAACCTAAAAACAGGTGGAACATGTTCCCAAAGGTAAACTTATCCTTAAAGTTGATCTAAACCCCAATTGGATAAAATTAAGTTTGCTAATGCACTATCATAAGCAAATTAATTTTTTTTTTTTTTTTTTTTTAAATAAAATATTGTGTTTCTCTTTTTAGAATTCTCAATGCTGCTGCTCTAGTCCATCCTTTTTCAACCACTTCCTGTGTACATGCACTTGGTCCTGTGTTGGCTGCACATCATTGCCAGCCAGTTTATTTTTCACTGCCTGCATCCTGCTGGGAAGATTTCACTTCATATCCCACCCTGAAGAAGGAACAGAGAGGAATCTCTACACAGGGAGGGAAACACCCTTTTAGACAGTGGTCACAGGAACAGGTGTCCCCATTAGTATATGTATCCTCTAGTCCTTTTCTGGTGACAACTGCATTATTTTGGGTTGGTGAACATCAGTGTTGATACAGTAAAGCAAGCAGCTGTTTCTTTATAACAAAAAAAGATTGCTGTGGGCTCCTTGAGATCATTCTTAAAGGATATGTGGATTCAAGAGACACTGTCATAACTTATAAAGCACTGAGAACCTCATACATGGGAAGTTATATTCATTTGGTAGGTAGGAGTTGGAATGCAGTACGGTCGAGTGTCATCTTGCTTATTCACAAGAAATGTGGACTTTTTGCAATTTAATTACACTTTTGAAATGTTTGGCTTTAAAGGTACACTGCTGATACATATTACTGAATCACTGATAATTTAGTTTAAAGCAGAACTCCGGGCAATAACTTCTTTACGTGTCCTTTTTGCCGATTTCCTACCTTCACTGAATATATCATCCATCTTTGGGTTCACTCAGCAGTTGCTCTGAAATAGCCTATTCATTTTCAAATCAAACCAATAATTCTCTTTGGTTTCCTGTTTGTTAGACCAATGGCTGCTATGCCTCCTGTTCCCCCAGCCACTGGTCTTGGCACATCGCTTCTGTAGCTCTTTTTCCAGGAAGCAGTGATGTAATTCAGCCCCAATTGCAGCGGTGGACAGACCAAGACTCTCAGACACATTTAACATGTACAGTCCTAGTGTGCCCACCCACGTTCACTACAATTCCTTGTGGTTGATGGGAACTGTAGTTTCCTTTTACTGCAGAGAGAGGAGAGGATATGATGTAATTCCTGCTGTTACACCTCCTCCTTGGCAGAGCAGATGCTGTTATCTTTTGAAGTACAGAGATGAGGTCATGAAAATTCAATTAGACTTTTCTCCTAAATGGTCAAGATTTTCAACATTTTATTAACAGTTTAGTTTTATGTAGGGGGTTGTACTAATGGGTGATTTTTTGGTCTATCTTGGAGTTCTTATTTAATATTTGCAAATAGTTTTTACTTATTTTTTGAAAAGGGACAGTGCAACAATTTATTATCAATATTTTGGATTTCCCTTTGCAACAACATTCAAAGCTAATAACATATGTAGTCATTGAAGCTGAGCCCCAGACTTACCTTCAGTCTTGTACAGTTGTATAGGCTCCCCTCCTGTATTGAAACTGCTTTCACTGCACATTGTAAGATTCACAGTGTATGCATCAGAAGCTGCAGCAAGTCAGATAGAGCCCACCTCATTACCTGGCTGGAAAATATCCAGTATCATCTACCACTTTTCTCCCCTGCCTTACTGTCTGGCCCACCCTTTCATTAATTGAATATCAGTTATATCAATCTTGGTGCCTCAGTATCACATGTGGGCAGGGGCGGACTGACAACTCATGGGGGCCCCCGGGCAATAGGGGATCATGGTGCCCCTGTGTCCTTGCCCAAACAAAAAAGCCTATGAAAAAGGTACCAGGGGCATCTCATGGGGCCCCCTACTGACCCCAGGCCATCGGACAGTGCCTGTCTTTCCAAATGGTCAGTCTGCCCCTGCATGTGTGTGTTCCCTAGGGTGGTCTGTGTGCAAATGCCAACCCCGGCCCACTGTATGCATCTGGACTGAAAGCTCGAGAAAAACATTAAAGGCAGGTTGCACACGGCCAGATGGTGTTTTGCTTATTCCATCACATACAAACTCTGAGCCACGTACTTTGGGTTCCCCCACTCACCCTGTGCAGGTCCATGAGTCCCAGCAAACATATGCAGGTTTCCAACAGATCTGTGTCTTTCTACCGCAGTCTCCTCTTCCTCATCTTCCCAATCCAGGCGCTGTGTGAGATCCATCTTAGTAGACAAAGGCAAGTTTCGTTTCTCAGGGTAAAAGTAGATAAAACAGGCAAATTCATATTCAACAACATCAAAGAGAACTTGACGTGATTTAGAACATTTCTAAGGTAATACTCATGCTGACATGCAGAGATCTTGGGCTACCTTCAGGCACCTGTTTTAGTCTTTGAAGTGGTTCTAAAGCTTTAATGCATTCTATACACTAAGGTACAAAACCTTCTGTGCTGCAGGATACCCCCTCCCTTACTTATACCTACCCAGGCCCGATCCAGCGTTGTGCACGAGAGCAGCAGCTCTAGCCACTATCTCCCTCCTCACTGGGCAGATTAATAGCAATAGGAGCCATTGGTAAATGCTGTGATGAGGAGGCGGGAGTAGGGCCGAGCTGCCTGGTCTGTGTTAATAGATGCACACAGGGAAGCTCAGGAGCGAGCAAGCACACTCCCCCCCATAGTAAGCGCCTTCCTATGGGGGCACTCACTGAAGAGGAGGAGCCAGGAGTGTTGGTGGGGGACCCGAGAAGAGGAGAATCGGGCCTGCTCTGTGCAGAACCATTATACAGAACAGGTGTTCATTCTGAATAGCACCTCAACAAACAATTGCTGTGGGGCACTGCAACACACACTAAAGCACAGGTAAACCTGAAGTGACATCAGTGTTTCTAAACTGCTACCAAAAGCAACTACTTCATACTAACTATATGTCAACACAGCTTGGCTTCTGAGCACTCATGTGCCCTCAATTTTTTTCATTATTTTACTGGACATGTTTAATAGCAAAAAGTCAAAAATATTGTTTTTTTTTCTAAAAATTGTATCTTTTTTTTTTTTATAGCACAAAAATAAAAACCACTCAGGTGATCAAACACCACCAAAAGAAAGCTCTATTCATGGGAAAAAAGGATGAAATTTCATTTGGGTGCAGCATTGCATGACTGCGCAACTGTAAGTTAAAGTAACGCAGCGCGTAACGCAAACAATGGCCTGGTCAGGAAGGGGGGTAAATCCTCTGGAGGACAAATGTCTGTATAATAGACATCGCTAAATATAACCTCTGTATAATGCCAATCAAGGATATTTAGATATGACGTAAGACTGCTAATATTAACATTAGATAAGACATCCATACTTTCTATAGATATACAGATTTCCTCAAACACATTCTAAGCATAACTTTATGGTTAATGGTTATCAAAAAGAGAAGTCCGTTCCACATAGCTTAAAATATGTCCAACGGTACAAAAGGGTCCACTGCTCACGTGCAAGCTCAAACAGTGCTCTGTGAATGGTCCTGCAATCTCTTGAGATGTGATGCTTCCCAGCAGGATGCGGGAAAGGGCGGGGCAAGGGTCCCCCTTCTGGTTTAGGCAAGGATTGAGGAAGTGGGAGCACTTAACACCCCCCCTCCCCGCTTACCCCATAGAATAAACCCTACAACTCAAGCTAACCACACATGGATCAAAATTTGGCAGGGTCAGCAGCAACTGGCCAAATTGTAATCCATGTATGGTAGTTCCTGTTCATATGAAGGCAATCTATTGATAGATTTTCAATAATCGAGCTTCTTGGAAAATGTCTGCTCAATCAGTACATGCAGTAAAGGGGCTGCAACGTTAATAAATGTAATCTGATGGCAGAGAAGACCTGCTGTTAGAATACAATGACACAGCGGGGAGAATTTCCCCATCCACAAAAAAAAAAAAGAAAAACTGAGCCATTAATGTTCAGGCTAGGGGGAGGGAGCAAACCAGCAGGACTTTGCTGTTTTTAATGAAGTTCCCTTTAAGGACTATCTGTAACAGAGGCTGGACTACTGAAAGCGATATGAGCCCTGGTTCCTATGTGTTTCCTGCACTGCAAGCGATCTGCTGTGTCAATGTTAAGTTGACACCCCAAAAGCAGGTTGCAAATGCCTCAATTGGATCACATGGGTATAAACACTCATGCAATCCGATACCAGTGCGGCAAAAAAAAAAATTTTTTTTTTGTGTGGATGCAGTGTGATTTGAGCCATGCAAATCACACCGCACAGAATCACGTGATTTGCACAAGAATGTGGTGCGATTCCTGTGCAAATCACATGCAGTTCCACAGTGTAAACCAGGGCTTAAAGTGATATTAAAGTCGGATTTTTTTTTTTTTAAATAACAAACATGTCATACTTCCCTGCTCTGTACAATGGTTTTGCGCAGAGCAGCCCCAAATCTCCTCTTCTTGGCTCCCCCGCCAGCACTCCTGGCCCTTCCCTCCTGCCGAGTGCCCCCAGATCAAGAAGCTTGCTATGGGGGGGGGGGGGGCACCTGAGCTGGCTCGCTCCTGAGCCGCTGCTCTGTCCATTCAGAGTGCTGTTCAGCCCCACCTCTGCTCTCTCATTGGCTCACTGGTTGTGACTGACTTTAGAAGGAACCAATGGCTCTCAGCCAATGAGGAGGGAAAGACCTCGGAGAGCCACTGCTTTTGTGCACAACGCGGATCGAGATGGAACCCAGGTAGGTATTGGGGGGGACTGCTGCACACAAAAGGTGAATTTACTTAAACTTGAGCACACCAAATCTGATGCAGCTGTACATAATAACCAGTCAGCTAACTAATCAGTGGTTACTATTCACAGCTGCACCAGATTCTGTGTAAGTCTCCGCCAATGTCTCTCTAAAGTTGTTTTGTTCGATCTCCTTTAGCTCTACCATTACAGTACTGAGGAAAGGGGGGGTTTGGGGGGAGCGGGGTCATGCGTTCCCTATGCTCAAAACTACTGGGCACTTCTTAGGCCAACCATACATAGATCAAAATGTGGCTGGTTCAGCAGAGACAGGCCACATTTCGATCCTTGTTTGGGCACTGTGGTTGTACAGAAGTAGATCTACCGATACAGTACAATGGCCCTGTTAGAGTTCCCCAATTTAATCAAAGCAGGGAATTTTCCTCACTATCAGAATACAATAGCTCAACAAAGAGAATTCCCCATCCACATCGAGTGTGTAGTGGAAGGAAATCAAGTCAGTTTGTATGATCGGGAAGCTGAAGATAAAGAATAATAATGGGAATGTGGCATAATTACCATATTTAAGAGCTTTCTACTCTATACAACAACTTGACTTTCAGCAATAATGACATTAAACAAATAATAATAATGGCCAGAATAGAAATGCAGACATTGAAACCTGTAGTGTACTTTTATATTGATGGTCAATGCAAAAGAGTTTGTTAACATTGGAAATCAGAAAAAGTTTCCTTTTAACTTTGGTGGTCAGAGGAAGGAATGCTCTGTTACAGTACTTACTGCCCAAGGAACTCCTGGTTATCTGGTTATCTTTACAGGAACCCTGGTCAAGGATGGCTGGCCTAGATTCTGCGAAAAAAACATTAAACAGGGTGAAAAAAGCACTGAATCAGTGATCTCTGCCTCTCACTGGTCACATGATCTAAGCCAGGGCACTGGCTGCATGACCTAAGGTGATAGGGATGGGGTGTGTTCAGGCCGAGCTGCTGTTTGGCTGGTGCCAACTAGACATCAGCCCACTGGCTGACAAACATGACACCTCCCACAGCATGTGTGCTGCATACACTTGTAGCATGTGCACCTTCTTAGGTAGCTCAATGCTGTGCAGGGTCATTTTGTGACTCTTCATTTAAAAAAAAAAAAAAAAAAAAAAGGGGGAACAGAACTAAATCCACCAATTTAAAGGTAAGTTCAAGTTCACCTTATGGAGCATGTTAACCTGTATTTAGGATGTAACATGCTCCAGCAACTCCACCCAGGCTGATGGGCACCCTTGTAGATCACTGTTACAGGTGATGCACAGAGATAAAACAAATCCTGCTACATAAGTTGTACTGGTTTATCTGCAGTCTTCTCTAAAGCTGGTCAAAGCCCAGAATTTAGAAAGCTTCTCTACGCTTTCAGAAAGCAGGGGGCGGGGAGCTAGTTACACTCTGCAGAGTTCAGTGACAGCTGACTGGAGGGAAAGGACACCCCCTCCCTTCACACAGCTCACAGGAACAGAGCTGAGGCTGTCAATCACAGGCTGTGTGCTGGAGCTTCCACCAGTGTCCCCTTTTTTTCTCTTGGTGTCAGGAAAACTTGTCAGAAGTGACTCATACAGATAGCAGAGGAAGGTAGCAGCAGCCAAAAATGACACTTAGCACAATGGACTGAGACAAGTACACACTATAGACGGAAATGCTTTGTTCATATTTCATGTCTGAGGTTTACAACCACTTTAACGATCTCCCAGAACAGTTACATTCCAGACATGCCTTAAATGATTACTGTTAGTCAGTAGTATGCTTATGTTAGCCCTCAAGCGAACTGTCAAGCCATCAAAAAGGCTGGTCTCATAACTGATCATATGTGCAGCACCACGGCAAATGGAGGCCCAGATGGCAGCTTCCTTCGCAGTAAAGAATAAGAGGGTTTAGTTCCTTCGAGGTAACGGATAGGAGGGTTTAGTTCCTTCGCGGTGAAGGATAGGAGGGTTTAGTTCCTTCGCGGTGAAGGATAGGAGGGTTTAGTTCCTTCGCGGTGAAGGATAGGAGGGTTTAGTTCCTTCGCGGTAAACAATAGGAGGGTTTAGTTCCTTCACTGTGAAGGATAGGAAGGTCTAGTTCTTTCACTGTGAAGGATAGGAGGATTTAGTACTTTCGCTGTGAAGGATAGGAGGATTTAGTACTTTCGCTGTGAAGGATAGGAGGGTTATTTTCCTTCGCTGT